TTGTCTTGTTTATTGTAAATTTGTGTTTGTACATTGAGAGCGGAGTGGAAACCGGAGACAAATTCCATGTATGCGTAAGCATACATGGAATTGTGGATTCCATAAAAATCCACAATGAAAAAGTTAAACCAAACCAATATTACGGCTAACGTGTACTTATTAATCAAATGCCAGTCGACTGTGTTGTCCAGGTTTGTGCAGCCAAACATCATCAGTATCAACACAAGTGTGTTCGCAGCCAGAGTGCTAAGTAGGCCACAGTACGGTATGTGACCCATGAGCTGGCCCGGTGGCTCACTGGCCCCTTTTTGTTTCTCAACCATCTGATATTCTGCCCGCTGAGGTGGAAACTTACCCCTCTGAACGAGAGGAGCAGGAACCGAAGCCTTCGGTATCAGTTACAGGGTGAGGTTAGCCGCTTTATGTTTTCTTAAAGAGACACATAAAAAAAGCCTACCCTGAGTCAAACTGACTATGAAATCACCTAAAGCCAACTGCCTCTTCTCGAACAATACTGTATGTTCCTGCTGCGAAGTAAAGGACTGGATAATTGCTTGACAAATGTGGTTTGTAGACCATGAAGTTCTCTCACTTCACTGCTGCAGGGGAGAGATTATTATCAGCAGGATCTGAGCCAATTTGACGTATGTTTTCTGTGTCCTCCATCTCAGCTGGACCAAAAAAAATAAAAAATCGGAGATGTTTCTGATGTAGCTGATGTGAAGGAAAAGAAGTTACTGCTAAAGTTGAGCGACTCACTCCCAGCATCCAAACATCCTTGCCAGAGCAAATTGTTGTGAGGAATCTAGCGGCTCAAAAGGGACTTATCTTCCTCAACTCACCACGTATACCATATACCCCGCTTCTGTTTTTAGAAGCAACACTGAGCTAAATGTAAAAAGAATCTCCTGTTTTTCATTGTCTTTTGTTGAAAAGATAACAGATCTTTCAACCCCCGAATGTTAGCTGATGACTGAAGAAAACGTACTCCTTGCACACCTCTAGGCAAAGACAATATCTTGCCCGCTGAGATTTTTTTATCTCAAGTGCTGACTTGAGATGGAGGACATAATGTGTGTTAAATTGAGCATGAATAAGGCTTTCTGTTAGCGGGGGGGGGGGGGGGGGGGGGGGCCTTTATGTTATCGTCTCCCGAGCGATACTTCAGCTTGTTTTCTGCCCAGCATGTCTGCTGCAGTGACAGCAGCCGATTCAAGCTCACCATCGCCAACTACACCATCAATGGGCAGCTATACGTTCACAAGAAGGCACAGTCAGTGGAAGAGCAAGGGCCACGTATGCATTACACCTGCTGTGCAACATTCGTCCAAACACTCAACGGGAATCTTACTGTTGTGCTTTTTTTATTCTAAGGGCAGGGATGTTGTTTCGTAATCTCTGTATCAAACTTTATGACAGTAGGTGGAAACAAGAAGATGCAGACCAAGCAAAAGATAGATTAAACATGAACAATGTAAAAAAATGAAAAGCATTAATGTGAGTGTTCTATGGAGGATTGAGCGATCTTAAAAAACCAAAACTCCATAAAAATCTACTGTATCTTTGAGGTTGACATCTCCCGAGAGAGTATAATTTCACTGCATGGTTTTCACAGATTACGAGCCCTGAAACAGGCAGAATAAACCCCTTCATCACCTGCTCTGCCTCGTATAAGATGTTAGCATTACTGGCTGGATGATATTCAATTTTGAAAGGCCAGAATTGGTGAACTGATCGTTCCAACCTGAGAAAATACAAAGAAGATGCAGCACATCTGCTCGTTGCCCTAAAAACAGTGTACTGAGTGAGAACATCAACATTCTTGTCAAAAACAAACGAGGCTTAATTGCCTCAGTTAAACCCTAAAGTATACACAAATGTGGGTTAAATGAGGGCAATCAAACGGCACCTCACTGTGATAATGAAGTAAGCCTTAAGTATTAAGTACGACACATGATACCACAAGAAAGATTAGCAGTCATGCACAGGCAGCTCCGCCGTCCGGTTTAGGAGCAACATTTACCCATACTGCCTTGGGAAACAGCCAGAATGACACATCCGCTCACCCTCAAACGTTCACTAACTGTCAGTAAAGCTCCGCGGCATTAGTCCCGAGCCCCATTCATGTACACTCAACGGGTCCTCTGTGGCTGCCGCTGTATCTGTCTCCCTCAATCACCACTTTCCTCTATCTACTCATCTCGGTCTTCTCTTCCAGGCAGGAAGGACTGTGGTCACAGAGTGTGACTTCTTCTTCTATACAAAGACACGTAACAGTCTTTTTCACTAACTCCACCCGATGTTTCTGCCATTAAATCAAGGACTTTCCAAAACACCACAAGTTCAGAGAATTGCTGGGGGGAAGGCGTACCGACTACCTTAAAGCTTTCTCATCGCCGTCAAGGATAATGTCGCCATTATTCTATATCTTCTTTCCATGAAGCACAACAAAACAACACTTTAAATGCACTAATGAACGGTAATGATATAGAATATCTACAGTCTTGCCATTTAAGAAAGTGAAGAATAAAACATAATCTGAATGATTTTGAAATTAAAGCTTCAATTAGAATGATATCTGTAAATGATGTGCTTCATGTCCAAACATTCAGTTTGCAGAGCTTTAATATATCAGCATGTAATATAACGTTCACAATTAGTATCTCATTTTCACTCAACTTCAACATAATCGTGTGCAAACGGCTTCGACACGAATGTCTAAATGCAGATCTCTGTGATGAGAAAGCTAATCCTCTAAATCATGAAATCGTGAATGGAATTCAAATAGCGGCTCAAAGTATCGTTGCCTATTTTGTGTACATGCCTGCTTTCATTACACTATCTAAGAAAGCATTAGGGTCATCAAGACACCGATGTGGGACAGCACTGTGAAATAAAATGGTGTCCATGTTCCCCCAAAGATCATCCTGAGAGATTGTGAGGAGGACACGGTGGAAGAATAAAACGTGTGGTGATAAATGACAGCTGTAGAACAGCTTTGCGACAGTTTGGGAGATTAAGAAGCAGTGAAGATGTACCGGCACAATAAACTGGAGGAACCCCGACACACTGAAACGATTCCTCCAGTTTCATCCATGCGTTAAACAACTTAACGTCATGCAGTTGCCATGCCAACCTGTTTCCAGACTGCAGCTGCTATGATGAGAACGGGATATGCTTAATGGCTACTGTGCTATAATAAGGGAGACATTAGTATTCCTATCAAGAAATGTGTCTGAGCGAGAAGGCTTTGACTACTCACCGAGACGTCAAAGAGCTCCTCTGTGTCGTCCAGCATGCGGACCCTGATGGTGACATGTCGTCCAGGGGGCATGGCCGGGGGTCTGTGCCCGGGGTCCAGTGTACTGATGCCAAGAGTCGCCGGGGCTCCAAGACGCTGCCCTGCTCCAGAGGCCATTGGCTCTGGGTCTGGCTCGGCCATGCTGCACTGCAATGCTCACTGCCCAGCCTGCACAGAGACAAAACACATGTACGTGCAGTCATTCACTCGCGCCTGCATACACTCGGTATGTACACAAAATAATGCAATTCAGGAGTTAGAGTAGTAGAAGTGTTAAGAAACCTCCTCGTACGGAGCATCAGTGGTGCAGGCAGCAGGTGAAATACAACGAGATGAGAGGACAGGCTGCACAACCTTCAGTGTCACACAGTAATTGCAAATACAGTATTTGCACTCGCAGCTAATGGCTGATAATTGTTGCCTGTGGGAGAACCAATTAGTGTTAAAAAAAAAAAAAGAAAAGATCCAAGCGTATTCTTGATTTCAAGGCACAAATCAAGCTGCCCCAATTTGATTCGACACAGGAATCACAGGGCCAAATTGTAAAAATCAAAGAGTCAATACACTGACAATTGATAGCGGAAGTCGTACAAGCAACGGAACACAGACACACACTGAGTTGGGTTGTAATTGGTCTCAAGGGCATCGAGGCAAATACGTGAAGACACGGCAAGAGATGTGAAACAAATGAGCAGTGAGTTTAAGTCATCAGAGAGCAAAGGGTAAAAAAAACTGCAATAGAGAACATTGCATATACATAAAGTATTTAAATTCAGGTGTGACCACATGTGCATCCATGTTACTCGGTTGCTTTCAAAAGATACACAGCAAAGCTATGTATCTATAGCCGGCCCCCGACGAGGCCCTGCTGTCCTGCTTAATTCTCTCTTCATTGCACATTCCAGCAGGCTGATGTCATTCCCAGACCTCACCAAGTGCTTCATCAGAGCGCCGAAGCCAGTGGGCAGTTGTTCAGCCGCGGCTGAGAGGTGAGTGACTGCTGCCAAGTTTAAGCGGAAAGCTGAATAAGGCATTTCAAAAAGGAAGTGGATAATGTAATCCAGCAGAGTGCATGGAGAAAAAAAAGGCCAAGGACAGAAGATACACTACATTCTGTCTGGTGATGGTCTGCCTGATTAGAAGAGGCTCATGAGACGTTCACAGTCAAACACTGCAGACTGCAGTCGGAGTGGTTGCCACAAGGCTGGTTATTTCAATTATCCATTAAATTATGTTTTACACATTTGAATATCATGTTGGTTAATTAAGATCAGTTCTTCCCTGTGAACTCGTTTGGTTACTTATCAATGCTTAAAGCTAGAAATAAGGGATTCAAAAAGGATTCAACAAGCCGATTTGTTTTTAATAAAAAGCTAATGAACCCCAACCATAAGGGCCAAAGTGTTAAGAGAGCACGTCCTCATCATTTGCACCTGTCCGTACACTCATCAGCAGACGATCACTCCCTCGGGCTGATGGAAACCAAAATGCTGCGTGAATGGAAACAGGCATATTTTTCAATTCAAGCCCAGTCATTTACGACCTTTGATCCTCACACCGTCGACACTCGGTTCCTCTCGCCGTGATTATTGGCAAGTGTGTCAAGCAGAGTCTGTAAATTTGTGTTTTATATGACCTGCACATGCATGCCATGTTACCAGACACTCTTCAAACAAAGCCCCAGTGAAACAGAGCACAGGGAAAGAGTAGACGCTGATTATTTCAGCCAACAAGTATATCCTCCCCTTCCCCAGGGATCATTTATCAACCAGGCATGAGTCTAGGTCTGTGTGTTCCTCTGAATAGGTAACTCAGGTCCAAACACACACACAAAACTCTCACTGGTTAAGTTCTACAGCTGGCACCTTGCTCCAGGGGCCACAGTGTGACATAAAGCACAGTCGCCCTGTGTACAGTGCCAGGGGAGACATTTACCCTGAGTGTTTCCCACCCTGCCTTTGAACTTGTTTGCTTGAAATTCCCCACGAGTGTGTAACATGGAGCCGTGACTGCTGTCTCACAGAGTCTCCGGGGCTGGTAACAGTGAGCTCCTCTGTGTGCAGAAGGGGCACAAAGGGGCCCCTCGGTGGTGCCGTCCAACACTTGCACAGCTGGAATCCTTTAGTGACAGCTGAATGGCCAGAGGCCTGGGACGACACAGCCAGTTGTCTACCTGAAGCTCCTCAACACCCAAGAAAAAAAAAAAAAAAAAAGAGCTTAATTTCCTCTGTGTTCGGTAACCGTCACCGATACCTGGGTGTGGCTGGCATTGCACAAATCACATAGAAGTTCCCACTGTGTTATTGGCAGGGTTACATGTGTTTATAAAGAATGACAACTAACAAGATACATGCATGTTGTAACCAGCGCTTGGCTGCCATCCAAGCCTCTCCTAAAAACAGCCCCAATGATAATTGAGAAAAAAAAAAAAAAGGGTGGAAGTCCAGCACTCAGTGAGGGTTTTATTTGTCCTCACTCAACACAGTCTGGTAGTGTGTTCACACACCATTCATGGGTTAATAGAGCAGGCTGCTGTAATCAGGACTTTATCAGCCAGTACAGTAGATGTGGCAATATTAATGCAGCACCCTGGACACCTTCTGGAAACTAAAAGTGACAGATATGTAATGCACCGTTCCTGATCATTTCAATGTCACACATGAGGCAATGCCAGCTCTACGAAACATGAGAGAACTGCGGCGTCTGCACGCATCCACACAGCTGAGGTGTGCAAATGTAACACACACACTGGAGGACAAATAGGACACTTAGTGGCTGCACATGGAGATTTAAAAAATGTATTTTTTTTTTTGACATACAGTGATAGTTATTCTCCTCCCTCGAGATCCTCAGGATCACCAAACAACACGGCAAACATACTCCGAAGACTTAACCCTAATCTCATCAAACAAGTTGAATCACTTCCCTTAAGAGCAGGGGGAGTGAGGACTGCACGATTCTTACCTCTGCTCTTGAAATGCGGGTTTATCCACACGTATTGTATTTCCCCCAGCTGAAAGGAGATCTTAGTTACATCCACGTCCAGCAACAGCGGCTACAACAACAACAAAACAACAAAAAAAAAAAAAAAAAAAAAAAAAAGGAAGCCCGGTTGAGTTTATTTTAGAAGCTGCTCGGACCGGAGAGGAGGCTTTCTGCGGTCGCCATGGCGGACGACTAGAGTGAGTGCGCCGGGGTAAAGACGGGATTACATTGAACCGAGCGGCGGATCCACCCCCGGTGCCTTCCACTGAGACAATGAAGGAGGTGCAGCACCTCCACCTTCTCAGCAGCAGCGGAACACAGAAGAACGGCGGCGCCATCTAGCGGTGTTTGACTGGAACAACCGTATTCAGATGTTAAAACGTAAACCAGTGGGTCCAGAGCTTCTTATGGCTCGTGACCCCTGGAAATGGTTATGGCCTTAATGTGAGGACAGGAGCAGTTCAATGACTGTGGTTTTCCCTGAGGTTGTTATTTATTTTTAATTATTGCCAAACAACAGGCAGGCAACATACCCAACATGCAACATGAGGCGTACACTATATCAACATAAGACTCAACACAATGCAAATAAAAACGATAGGATAAGTAATGCAAATTCAAATATACCAAAAGAGTAAAAAAAGAAGATAGAGATAATGAATTAAAATGAAAAATGTTAGCAACATTTGTTCATCATCTTGTGACCCTCTCACAATGCTGTTGAGTTTATCAAATACATCGAAATATATTTGTTTAGCTGCAAAACAGCTGAAAGACTCTCTTTTCTTTTGCAGTATATAAAATGGCTTAGCTTAAATTCATATGTATTCTTGAGGTGCATGTTTCCCACAATGTGGTCCAGAGCAGAGAGGACACAAAGCCTGTGACGCTTGTTGGTGGCCTACAATACCACCCAAGACATTGCACTTTATTTCCGGGTCCACTGGAGGGTGCTTTGGCTTACCATGACGCATGAGTGATAGGCAGCAGGACCACGAGCCTGTACTAGGTCTTTAAAAGTTCAAACACGTGATAACATAAGATAATAAAGTAAATAGAAATCAAGTTTTCTCTCTCTTCCTCTCATGCAAAACCATCTCTGTAACAGGCAACAAGAGAGCTGTGATGCTAAACAACTTGTGGATTGTTCCGCAGTTGACTTGTGTGTCATGGGAAAACTGATGAAGAACACCATATACTTTACTAAATATTGTAACATGAAACAATATCAATAAATTGTGTCACTTTAAGGTAGATTTCTTTAACGTCTCTTTGTGGTGGTTTTGCATCTCTGTGGGGTTTTTGCCACACACCATGGAGATGTAGGGCCTATCCTCCTGAGCGTTCATTGATTTGTATACCCTGCTTCTCCTGTCCTTTTTTATGGATGGTGGCCTGGGGCTTTGGCTGGGACCGGTGCCTCCACATCGCCCACTCCTCCATGTATGTAGCTGCGTTCAACGACGGGGATAAAAGACAAGCAGTGCATTGGAAAGCTGGAACTGGTGTTTTTTTTCTTCTTCCTTGTCTCTATTTCATGTCTGCTGCTCGCCCACCTTCTCACTGGCAGGAAGAGAAGTCTCCTACGCTTTGGTGGTGTGGGACTGAAGACGGAGAAAATCACACTCAGGGTCTTGGCAGCTTCAGAGGCCCCCCTGGAGGCACTGATCTGGAACTGAGGCAAAGATGAACATTTCAGCAAGAGCGTGAAAACGAGTGAGAGCTGCAGCAAGAAAGAGAAAACAGGCAAGAGACAATGCTGTTCTGGATTTGTTATGTAAGCAATTAAGATGGTGTGCCATGTTCTTGGTGATCTCTTCACCATAGGGTGAATATTCTATTATAGTATATTATATGATATCAGTTCACCAGAATTTAGGCTTCCTGTTTCCTTCGACACTGTGTACTTGAGGTTAAGGGGTTCAAATGAATCCACCTCACAGCCCCATTAATCTGCCAGGGGGCCCCAAGAGCAAAAATGAGCTTCTGGGCCCCTGACCCACACTTCCTCCCACTCTCTGTGTATTGCCTTTCCATACTGGAATACAACCTTGCTGTTTGGTAAATTGAGTTAACATATCAATTCAGGAATGTGCAACATATAAGCACAGAACTTAAATAATTATGCTTCCATTTCAAGACAGGGCCTCAAGATCAGGTAGTAAATAAAAGAGTCACCTTAAGGCCCTTATCATAAAGGTTTATAAAGGGCACATAGTAAAACACAGTAATCTGGCTTTTGGGGCCCCTGGAGATTTTGGAGATTTTTGTACTTCTAATCAAGTAAAATGTTGACTGCAGGACAATAAAAGATCTGAGTACTTCTTCCACCACTCATCTCTTGGTCTTCAGCTGTCATGCAGATGGATCTGTTGACATGCCTGCTCAGTAGCTATTATATTTTCATTAATGGCACTTTTTTTAGCTATTTTCATCCACGACATAAAGGTGAAACATTTAACATAACATAATTCCTTGACCTTGTAAACACCAGTTTTAATTTGTCAAACAACTCTAGAGTGAAGAATTAAACTTAAAATGAATTGGAATTCTCTAATTTTTATATCATAAATTATTTAATTACTCTCTCTCTCTCTCTCTTTATATATATATATATATACATAGTATACATACACACACACACACACACACACACACACACACACACACACACACACACTGTATATATATATATATAATACAAATCCTCTTTTGATAAACCTTTAGAAGTCTGCATATAATCCAGTGGTCTATTCAACCTGACAGCCACCTGAAACATTTCCACACAATATCCTTCCCTCAGGGTGTATTCACCTTAAGAATGAATAGAAGATGGAAATGAGATTCCATTTCTATTTTAATCTCTGCAGCAGCAGCAGCTGCATCTCCTGCCCTGTCACCGTCTCCCACCAACTCTGAATACCAGGTCATTAAAGCCCAACCAAGCTAGACTTTTACATTTCTCCAACCCCCACTGTTCCAGTCAGTCTGGAGTGAGTCTGGACACACACACACACACACACACACACACACACACACACACATACTGACTCACTAACTACAGTCTAATTGCCTGTGCTTCTAGGTTTGGCTTACTTAAAACCATGCCAGCTCCTCTGTTTGAACTCCATCTGCAAATATACCCCATGCTTATATTTTATTAAAATTGATGCTTTGATAAAATGGACGAGGGCAGGCAGTGTGTGTGTGTGACAGTGTGTGTGTGACAGGATGTATGTATATAATTAACATTTATAATACACTTTATTTACATCTTGCTAAGGCAGGAATCTGAAATCAGCAACATTTGTATTCATTTTTATGTTGGTTGAATTTCATCCCTGATTAGTTTTTTTAACAGTCTTTGATTGCAGCGTGCACTCTTTACCCCAACAGCTCCCATGAGGCCATTTCCTCATCACTGTTTTCAAAACAAGACGGGGAAAGCGAGTCTCGGAGTTTAAAGGCCTCAAATGAGACCGACACTTGGGACCCCAAAATCTTCTTCACTAATTAGAGAGTCAATCGTTATCGTCAGCAGGTGCTGTTATCATGCTTGTGTTGAGACATTTTACATCTTGGTGCCTTTCCAGTGTTCGGCAACAGAAGCAACCCTGACATCCCTGAAGTGTTCGAGCAAGGTGGAGAGGGAATCTGTTTTGCACAGAGAACGACCATCCAAGGCTCACGAATGAGGCTTCCTCCTCTTAGACATCACCACCACAGAGCTCCTGCTGAGTCCTCCGCTTCTACAAAAGAAGGAAACCAGCAGGGGGGGAGCCTCATTACATGCTCTATTACTAAATATATACAAAGGCAGCAGGGTGACACCCAGTTTTATAACTGCCACATTTCTGTTTGCGTGGCTGGATGAGATCCTCTGCCTGACTCAGATGCTCATAAAAAACATTTTGTCAGTAGTAGTTTCAAGAATTCATTCGACATCCATATACATTACACATGGTTTATTGCTATAATCAGGACGGCACCTCCATTTGTTTTGGAGCTGCTCAAACCAGCTGGTCAGCCATCTTTGACACCTTCTCTTACATCTGTAGTAAGGAGATACGACCAGACCCAGGAGACACATTATTTGGAGTGTTTACACTAACAGGTGGAAATCTGCCAAACCAGCATTACCTGAACCTCTATCCCCACCTATCGCAGAGTGTTTGGCAGTTTTGTTTTTGGGTGTTGTTGCTTTGTTCTTTTGTATATGCAGCCTACGTCTAATCATGCATCGGGCTTAGTGTATTTCGTCGAGATGTGATGTTGATTGTTGTTATTTGTGGCATGTTGTGACGAGCAAATGCATATTGGCAAAGTTCAATAAAAAGATTCCAGAATAAAAAAAATAAAAAAGATTTAGTGGAGCTACAGTGTCTCGCCATGTTGCCTTGTGTTTTTCTTCTTCTGTTTGTTACCGTACAAGAAAACAGTCAGCCTGGGAATGTTTTGTCTTGTATCACGTGTAAGAATACACCAAATCCTTCAGCTGTTAATATAAATCCATGCAATTAGTACTCCAATTTATAATTTTAGAAGACTACACAATAGCGACAGATGGTCTGTGTGAGAACAATTTCACCACAATGGTGAAGAAGTAACTGCGACAAAAACAGAAATATCCATCAGAGTGATTCCGCATGAAACTGTGAGTTACTCACTGTCAGCTCTTCTCCATCCCCAAAGGGTTGCTCTTAAAATGTGCTTTTCTCTTTCCAGCTAATTCACCTGCAATGTGCATGCAGGAGGGAACGCTTTTGACCCCTAACAACTGGGAAAACTGACGACAGAAAGCACAAAGGAAGCAGGGACTGCTGAATAAATCTAGTGGAGTGAAGAGGAGTAGAAGTAGAAAGTAACATAGGATAGAAATACTCAAGTAATGTACTCTATACTACATATACGGACATTTTGAGATATCTGTTGCCACCCAAACACAAGTACTCTCTACTGGAAGAAATAATCTATATTTGCATATCTGGACACGTCTCATCCTCTCGTGATTTAGTTGAACTCAGCCTTTAGTGTCTGATAATGGCGACATGGATTATGACATAAACACATGTATCCAGTAGAGGAATTTGTCCTTGTTGTTTACACAGATCATCCCCCCCCACACACACACTCCTCTGTTACAGCTGCAAATTAGACTGTGAAATTGACAAATCATGTGTTACCATCTGGTTGCCATGACACCTATAGGCCCCTCTGACGCCCCCCCTCCGCACATCAACATTGTTTCCGATATAAAAAGGCACGAAACATCAGAGGGGGGGGGAGAGTGTGGGTTGAGAACAGCTCGGCTCTCTTCAGCGACGGTGACTTCAAACTGAGGTACGGCACAAGCAATCAGTGAATAACCCGTCACCATGTTCAGTGAGGAGCGTGCACGTCCTCTGGTGTTCACCATTAGGGCAGGGTGGATACCTTAAACGTGACCTGTTGTGCCTCATAGTGAAAATGTTCCCTCTGAATGTGTAATTTCTCCCTTTTCCATCTCACCCTATTGATTCCCACAATCCCTCTGTGCTGCACAGGTACAAAAGCCTAATTTCCACACATTTCAGCCCTCGTGTGGATTGCATTGAGACTTTAATGCTCCACTGATCAACGAGATGATTAAAGCAATTTAAAGGCTCCTTTGTTCAGTCAGAGCATTGGAATCTCTTTCATCCTCCAAACTGCTGAGCTGGCAGGGTATTCCTCTGCTCCTCCGGAGAACAGCCTCATGAACTCGCAGCCCCTGGATTAAAAGTGCACAGGGCAGACACGGCATTTTTTGTCGTGACCTGCTATATCCCCCACAGACACCCCAGGGACTGTGCTGCAGTCTGGCAGCAATGGGGATGGGGGTGGGGGTGGTGGCGTGACTCATGCAGCTCCCCCTCCTCTCATCTTGACATTTGACATACTGATGTAGAAGATCTCAGCTGGAACAAACACGTTGTGCTGTGTCACACACCTGCGATTTCTGTGCTTCTGAGCGCCTGGCTTACAGAACCGAGAACAGGTAACAATGAGTCAGCGCCTATTCAATCCATACGCCTACGCTGTGAAACTCAGGGGGTTGTTTTCAAGCTGATTTTATTTTTACTTTCCAGTCTGTTCCCCACTGGGTATTCAACATTTCACGGTGTCATTGTTTCCTTGAAAGTCCTTCTTTCTTCAACTTGAGAAAAAAGGTGAACTGGAGTGCAGTGACATTTTAAAAGGCCAAAGAGACAAAGCTCCACAAATTTGGCTGATTCCTGCAAAGCATTCGGTAATCCATTCTCATTAAACCTCTTTCACTGGACAACAAGAAAATTAAACTGCGTTTGACGATATGTTACCACAAACACAAATGATGCTGTCGAAGAGTGATGCCAGAGGGATTCTGGTTCCTAATGAACCCCACTGAGACGTCCCACCATCAGTTCCTTTAGCCCTCTGCCCTGTCTCATCAGGCTGGTTAAAGCACCTTGGCAAGCAAGAAAGCACAAAGAGATCCCACAGGCTCGCTCTGTACTAGCTCCACTGTAGGTGGTTGTTGACAAGCGCCTCAGAAGACATGCTGGCAGACAATTTCCCCCCGGATCTATTAACCGCCGATTCTCCCAACAGGCCACTTCCACTCCGCATCAGTAATTCAAAAATATCTAAAATGAGTTGGGAGGTGAACCAAGAAGAAAGGAGAACCCAAAACATGGAGGAGTCTGTCTTTTTTTATTTTGTTTTGTTGGAGCTGTGGTCACTGAGCTGCTAACAAAACAGTAGTTTTATGTTTAATACAAGCTATTGACAGGTATTACCCATTGCCTGAGATGCCAGAATAAAAGAGATCCAAACAGATGAAAGCACAGGTATGTTCCATGTGGAGTGCACAAAGTGTGTAACTTCCCTCCTTGTCCAATTAACAAGGAGAATAACAAACTACCAATAGCTGTCTTGACATATTCAACCCAGGCTGAGCCCTAAAGAAACCTCAGGTAGGAGCCATCAGACTCTGTAAAACCAAAAGCAGGATTCTTTGGCTGAGTCACGCTGGAGTGATGCATAAACAGCAGTGACTATGTTTGGACAAAATGTCTTTCTCGAGTTAGACTTTCTAATGAATATAAATACAAGCAACAAAACAGGGCTCATGTTGTAGCTCACAGCGGACTTATCAACATATATAATTCCTGTTTACATCCCCCAAATTAAGGGAACGCAGGGCATAATTATCCGCCAAAATCAAATGTGAGACTTGCATTATCAATATGTTTTGACAGGATTAAGGCTGTACAAACCCTTTACATCTCCTGATGTAAGAGAGTGGATACCAACCTGTTATACACAAAGAAGTTTACATCGTAATGATGTAGAATAACAAGTAGGAAAAGCACAGAAGAAGTGTTTAACGCACTTTTATTGTTTAGGTGTCAAATGTAACAGTGTCACCATTCAGAGAGGGAATAAAGAGTGAATGGTCACATAAAAAAATATAAAATCAACAATGAAAATGGTCACACGAGGAAAGTCTGGTTCCCGTGGCAGCACAGATGTACAGTCCAGACATGTATGTGTTTGGTTTGCACATTTCCACAGCCTATTTTTTTATCTCACACAATGAAGAGTCCTTTTTTTTTTGTTTACTAGCCATGCATACAGTTGACAGTTCCACATGTGTTGAGTCGGTGTCTTCACAGGAGCCGGCACTTTCAATACAAAATATGTACACTACCATTTATTATTGTTATTATCATCTTTGCCTTTGTTACTATGGATTTGAATACTCTGAGCACACACAGAATGGGATCAGGATGTGGAAACTCTGGAGCACCCCGTTTCATGTTGATCAGAGGAGAAAAATAATATGTAACGTATGACAAACGTTGGCATCTTCACTTCAAATGTCACCCATTCCTGAAAAAGGGTTCAGAGAGATCGTTGGTAGTGATATTCAAAAACTGAAAAAGATGAACTCTTTGTCCCATCAGGATGAAGCAGTTGGTTATATTACTACTCGGCAATCTGCTGTCAGAGTCTCCCGGGGGGGGGGGAGGGAATGAAACACCACACGATATGTTAAAGACTCTGCTATTGTATCTCAAAGTCAGGAAATAGGAAAGAGACGACTGCACCAATGTGTCAAGAGAGACGCTGACTTCTCTACCATTTTCTCTCCGTTCCTGTTGTAACGACAGAAAAAACAACAACAGATGTATAGGAAAATGGAGGTGCTTTCAGGTCACCTCTTTGATTCAGCCCTGTGATGAGTGGAACAAAACTCCAACCGTCAACGCACAAAATAAACTGGGAGAACAATTGTACATACTGTAAATCAAATACTGCTTATTATTTAAAACAACTGGATCCCAGAAACCTGTTATTGAATTTGTGTTTAGTAGCGACTTGTAAACCGAGTTGTAGTAACAAAAACAATACTTCTTTTGTAACAAAAGCAAGAGAAAACACATTTTTTACTCATTTATAACAAATGATAGAACCTAAAGAGTAAATATCCTAATCTGTGATTGTTCGCTGATGATTCCCCCGCGCCCCCCCCCTCAACTCAAAGGGATAAAGACAGAAGAGAGTAACATAAGGCGAGGGCATGTTCCTTTTCGTCGTTTGTCAACGTCTCCCGCGGCAAATTCCTGGCATTCCCTGTTCATCCTCACTCACATCTCTTTATTAATTATCATGTCACTGCTGATTTTATGCTCCGTGGAGTTAAAATCCATTGCGTTCAACCATGAATTTTTCTTCCGCCTAATTGGCATGTGCATGTGTGTGTGTGTGTGTGTGTGTCTCTCTGCTGCGGGTTGGTGTAGCTTCCTCTAAGTATACTTTTTGCCTGGCCCGGTCCTGGAGGCCCCCCCGGGGCTATTGTATATTGCAAGAGGAGCAGCAAGGGTCATCCTTGTCCGGCTGGGCGGCATAGTCCATCTGCCGAACGATCTCGGCGAACAGTTCGTCTACCATGGTTTTGCTCTTGGCCGAGGTCTCCATGAACGGGCAGCCCCACTCCTCGGCCAGGGCCTGGCCTTCGCTGGACGACACCTCCCTCTCGCTTTCCAGGTCCACCTTGTTCCCCACCAGGATCACGGGAACCTTCTCGTACCTGAGGACAGACACAGAGCCACATCGGGGTGTCAGACACAGATGTACACGGCCATAACTGATGCTGAGGAACTGTACGGAAGCAAATGAGTGAGTTTTTAGTGCCTTTATATTTTCACTGAACTTACAGTTTACAAAGACAAGCAATTAGGCTTTCAGAACATGGTGTTAGCACATGCCTAATGCTCAAAAAAGCTTTCATTTGCACCACTGATTAAAACCGTAACTACCTTAACTCCATTTAATGGAAACACTGGATGACTTAAGACAGCAGCTTTATTGATGCATCACATAGAACATCTGCACCTTTCTCTCTGTTCTTTATGCAGCACCGTTCATTTCAAGGTTAGCGTCGTCTCTGTGATCGATTGCTTCCAAGTTCGAATATAACTGAATAAACATTGACATATATTTTTCTGTTTATGTTTTAGTTGCTGCAAAGTGAAAGTGGTGATTTGATTGACAGTCATAAATACTGACTGTTGGACAGATGCCTCCAATAATGCCTTGACCTCAGCTCTCAGGCGCTTAATCATCACAACAGACAGAAAATGATGCGTCTGTAGAAAACGTCCATCGCTATCACATCGCACTACTACTGACAATACTACTAAGTATATTTTAGATTACTTCGAGGGACCCTGGCACACGCTCAGGGACTCATTTGTGTTTTCTGTCTGGCTCTTATCGCTCTTTTTCATCTGGGCCATCCTTATTGTAAGAGTACTTTGTTTATTGTTAACATGCAGTTAAAACTATCTTTTGCAGCATAAACTTACAATTTTTTAATGCATGAGGAAATGAAATCCACCTCCTGAAACTCAATTTAAACACGAGTGTTTCATTGAAAGAATCCAGATGTTTTGTTTCAGACACAATCTTTAAAAATAACTCAAAAGAGGAAAAGGCTTGAAAATAATATGATAAAGATATTTTTAGACAGTCATCTGTTTAGTTCAACCAGGAGAGATAAGTCAGATGAAGAAAAAAATAATCGTTTATTATAAACAGATGATATGTGATGATAAAGTCTTGACAGGCGCTTGGACTCTACAGGGAGATGTGTGATTGAGGAACGTCTGCCCTGAGCAGCTGCAAGATAAATCCCCCCTGTGGAGTCCAGACACTGGTGGTGGTGAATGATGAGGCTGATAGACTCGAGTTGATGAAGCTGATGAATCTGGGTGGAGGTTGAGGGGTGGAGGGGCGGTAACAGCAACATGAACGTACTGAAGGTAGAGAGACAACCATATTTAAAAGGAGACGGCAGTGAGATGATACGCTAACGATGTAATTGTGTCGCTATGCTATTGGATAGAAGAGACCAGCTGATCTAAACAGCTGATATCATGATTGACAGCCCCAAACAATGACAGCAAGGAAAATGTGAGTGAGCATGCGAGAGAGGAGTGAATGACAGATGTATGAGGACTAAACAACAGGCCCAGGCATGCAGAAGCATAATCCTCCTTACTGAACCTAAAATACACCTTTTTTTAAAAAGTGTTACTACTTTGATGTACAAATGGACTTCGACTGTGGGGGGAAGGTTTTCACATAAAGAACCAGCTGAACCTCAATGCCGCCCACCATGTCTAAAGCCTGACCCAGTAGAGGACAGAAGCGGGTAGTATAGAGCTCTGACTCCTGAGGGTAGGAAGTGGCCATAATCCTTTGAGCTCTGAACTCGCTGCCATGTTGCAAAATGTCGCTGTGGAGCCGGACTACTTAGTGGGACAGCGAGAGATCGTCACTTCAACCAATCAGGCCACTGCACTAGAAGGGACAGCTGTGGCAGTTTCACCGATATAATCTGTTTTGATATTGAGGAACATGGCGGGCCTCAGTACACATCAGATAAGAGAAAATATAAAGATCAGAAACATCACACAGCATATCATGCACAACCACATCCTTTGGTAGACAACAAGTTGTTATTTCTTTCATCCTTATCGGTGTGTGAGGCGCTTTCCATCTGTCGGACCCGTCGTTTGACTTTAAATGTCTCTGTTCACGATGCGGAACAACATCGTCAAATCTGATCTGGGAGTCGTGCACCCAAACCCCCCCCCCATCAACATCATTAGGGTTTTCAAAAGCTGCCCTCGCTCTATGAAATACACAAGCTTCTAAATTATTTATAGAAAAATAAAACCCCATCCTCATCCTTGCTTGCTATGGTAACAGGTATACAAGGAATTGACTAATGCTGGGGCGATTGGGGAGACTGCAGCCGGAGCAATGCTCAGAGGCCAGGGGGCTGCAGGTTTCAGCGTTAAATAAGCTTAAACTTTCAGAGAACACGGAGCCGACTTTGATCTACTCATGAATACTTCATCCAGAGTGAACTTTAATCTCAACTATCCCGTATTCTGTTCCCGGGATCGGCTCAGCAGCCGAGAGGAAACTACTAGTGCTGAAGTGACAATCTTAGAGGTGGGCTCGCTGCGTGACCGAGACCGTGATCGTGTTCTACGAGCCCCGAAGGCAACTTGAATGAAAAACTGCAGCTTGTGCTTCCCGACTTTAACATGCAGCGCGGTGCACAGGTCTCATTCACTGCATTCCTGGTGTCGATGAAAAAACCAAACCAAGGCCATTATTTTTCCTTCAGAACTATTTCGGACCACGTCTCGGTGGTGGTAGAGGCAGATCAGGCCTTGAACCTGAAATACCCGTTCCCACCGTCAGTAACAAACCCGAAACATAGTTGTGGGTAGCTGTATCCGATATTTTAGAAGTCACAGGGGTCTCAGTGGTAAGTTGGGCTACGGGTGCCATTTGGGTCCCTGTTCTGCCCCAGGCTGTGGTTTTGGCTCAAATCTCTTGCTGTAAATCTCTTATGGAGGCTAAGTCTTATACATCATGACGTCTTAAAATCAAAGAAACTTACAGCAGGAGGAATCCAAATCAAGTCAGTCTAATAAGGTGACATCAAACACTCAAGTTTGCAGTGTCTTTCTAAAAAAAAAAGGAAGAAGTACAACCATAATGGAGGACTTGACTTGGTCAGCCATATGCATGCTATGTAGCTCATTTCAGCCTCATCATAACGCAAGTGCAGCACAAAGACATCTGGTCCCAAAGGAGAGGGTCTATATATAGTCATAATAACAGAGGAGGAAACTGGCAGTGAGACAGCGGCTGCCACGGATCCCCGAGGCTCCCAGGGCCTCAACATAAAGGGTGTCGGCCAAAGGCTGGTCCGTAACACAGAACACACACGGAGCGGTTTACATGGTTCAGACATGAGCCTCAAAATGACAAATGAATAACCCGCTTGTGTTCGTGCCGTGACACAAACAACGTGTCACGGGTTATAGCTCTTCAGCTCGTGAGCTTGACGGGCGGCGCCCCCACGCTGCAGCTGTCTGACTGCAGACACCCAATTGGAGCTTTTCCCAGACACACTTTATCTATAATGCATGATGCGTCCTCTCACATGGGCTTCGCTGACGGACGGGCGAAGCCCAGCGGCATCAACAGTCTCTGGATTTGACTCTGGCCAGCACCGTCAGGAAACAGGCTGCGTGCTGGGCCTCCTCCCAGCGGCCCTTTTGTGGGGGGGCTCTTCAGTTTAGTTAGTTAGTTAGTAAAGAGACGTCAGCTGAGTCAGAGAGCAGCACTGAGCTCCTCTCTTCTGGCACATTTCATCGAGAATAGATATCTGGAAAATCTTTGGTAAACACGCCGCGGCAAGCACGTGCATTCTGCATGAAATGTTTTGGATTTTCAAGAAGACAATTTATGGGATACTACATGAACTCTATTTCCTCCCAAGGTTGTGAAAACAAATTACAAGCTTCCCCTTTCCTTCAAAAGATCTAATGCTATTCGCAGATGATGGAGACGCTGGCCAAGACATGTCAAAGCAGGGAAGATAAACGAGGAGAGTTTTGACAGACTGCACATGGCTCTCATCCGTGGATCTGAAGCAATAATACGGCGCACTGCTATCTCCCTGCGGTAATTATGTCGTCTGAGACAAATTCCTCCTATTACTGTACAAAGTACGTGACCTACAATCTGAAATGCAAAGTGCCGCTGCTGCATAGGAAATTTGTTCCGATTGCTTTTCCATAAAGAGGAATACGCTTTGAATAGTTCAGAGACTCATTCAGAAGTCTGATAATTATACATTTCACTGAGGGTATCATTCCAGTGTCGACACCATCAGCCCAATGTAGGAAGATCTCCACGTTTAAAATCACATACGACTGATATACAGTACAGGAATGTATGTTTATTGTCAGTTTGTTTGTTAATGTCTGATATCGGGCCGATACTGACTCCAGTAGCTGGATTGGGCATTGGTGACACAGTGGGTCCAATCTATTCAATTCATTTCTATATTTACGTCTGATTAAACATGCGTGTACTACATCATGCTTCAGCAGCGTGCCGGCAGGTCGCATAGCTGAGGGAGCTAAAAACAAGCATGTCAGCTTTTTGGAGGTATTTCAGGCTTTCTATGCCAACAAGTTCTACGGCTACGTGCAATATCTGCAAAGCCAATGTTTCAAAAGGGTGGCAATCAGTAGATTTATATTTGCAGGGAACTTTAAGAGGATTTTTAATTATTCGCTCACTGTATGACTTAACAACAATACAGCTATAAACCATGTATTTCTAGACAGCTTGTTGCCAGGCTGTTTTCATAATTGCTTGTTGTTTTTTTTCATCCATGTCAACAGCTTGTAAGTCTACTTCAGTTTTTCTTCTACAAGAATAGTTCAATGGCATTTTGTCACTAAGTAGCAAACACTGTTTGAGTGCAGTGCACAGTGTGATATCATCCTTACCCTTTGTGAGAAGCTTCGTGTTGAGTTTGTAGCATCAGTGAGACTCGTGTACAAGGTACAGTGTGAAACACTGCACACAAGCATACATGTACCGTGAGCAGTGTGCAAATTGACACGTCATCTTCCCGATTGCCTCGATAGTAACATTTTAGAAAGGGCTCTAAAATCATGAGACAATTATTTGTCTCTTGCAATTGTTACTAAAAAGCTTAATGCCCAGCAGCTGTCATTATGCGGACTGCAAAAACATGTATTCAAGCGCTCAGGCACAACCGCTTATCACGTCTTATCTCATATCACGGCTCCCTGTGACTTTGTGAGAGGACGGGTGCCTTGAGTGACACATTTAGTCAGTGTGCAGGAGAACCTGTCAGCCTCGCTGCTGGTCCGGCTGTTCGTGTCCTTCAATGGAGCCTCTGAGGCCGCTATACGGGCAGAAAGAGATGTTAATATTCTTTATCCTTTTGTTTACGGGGGGGATGGCTCAGTTTTTGTGCGGCTGGATGATAAACATGACTGACTTCCCAGCTGTTTATTTGTGCTGCTCAATTCACCACAGACTGCTGGAATTACCAGCTTAACCCTCTTCACTCAAAACAGAAGCAGTGCATTTCATTTCCCAAATAACTGACCATCATATTGGATGAGTGACATTATCGAAAAGGTTATTTTGCCCTGGATTTTCATGTTCTTGTTAACATGTTTTTGTTATTGCTGGCTAGTAAGCTAATAACACAAGTCTATAGCCATGCTAGCAGCTCTGTGAGGCTTTGAGCTAAATGCTAACCCTAGCATAGCAATTGCAAAAAAGTGGTGACTGACCGTAAATTGCTTTTAGAATTGCTGATAGTTGATGTGGGCTTCTTTCCATTTCTCTATAATTTTCCCTTTTAAACTCGTGCCACCCTCTCTTAAAGGGGCGGTGACTCTCAAAACAGAGCAGCAACTTGTTGGATATTTGAAAACCACCACGGTGTACAGCCATGAACACGTACTTTTGAAAGACAAGTCAACCGTTTAACAATCAGTGAACTTTAGCTCAGTTCTTTTGGCCCAGTTTTCACAATAGACAGATGAAAGAGGATCCTTCTGGGAGAGCTGGGACTCTGCTGCTGCTCCTTTTATTGATCTTGATCCTTTCAACCAGTTGGCACATGAACAAGCCTGGGAATGATAACTGCACAGTTTTGGTACAACGTTGAAGGCACACATGCAGTAGTTTATTACAGGCAGTAGCCTATTTCACCTCTTTCTTCTTCACCCTCATGTCACCTCTGTTTAAATGAACCGTTAACTCACCAATCCCCCATATATACCTAGTGTATATACTGCAGCTGGAGTTGGGAGTGATGAGGTCCCCAGCGAACACAGGCCTCAGTGTAATGACATGCACCCATGGCCTCTGTGCTGAAGCCACTGACTGCAGGCACTGATGGACGCTGACAGGGTTCAGAGTGAGAGCGACGCACAGCGGCCCCTCTGACCTGAGCGAACAGCGATACGCTCGCGACAGGTCACCGGTGTTTTGGCAGCGAGGAGGGACAGACGGGCCAGAGGGGCAGTGGTACAGTGTGATGTTCAGGAGCACCGACGGCTGAGGTTAGCATTACAAAATTAAATTTCAATAGTTCAATTAATTGATTATCAAAACAGTTGCTGATTATTTTTCTGTAGATTAGCTAATCAATAAATCAACATATTAGCTCTAAAATTCCCTTTTTCTGATGTCATGATTTTCTCTCATCGGCCTGTGATTTTGTCAACAGTGCACCCTTTCATGTCTCTAATGTCTCGTCCCATCTGGTCCTCTCTTACTGCATGCACTGATTTTCTACATTTCCCACAATGCCCTTCAACCAGTCCACAGAACATGTTGCATTTCAGCTGTGGTTTTAAGAGAGCAATAAGCAGGTATTTTATAGCAAACTATTAAAGCTGTTATCTAAAACTTAAAATGTCTGGATAAGAAAACAACACTGTAAAGAGGGAATCATTCAACATGTTTATGTACTGCTGCAAATATGTGAGTGCGTGTATTTCAGTTAAAGAACTAGTAATTATGAGACCCTTTTCTGCATTTAATAAACAAACATCTTCAGAAAAATACATAAATGTAGACAGCCATAGAAACTTTGTATTTAAAGTGCAGTACAATGATAATGTTATGACAGATCATTATGATTATAATCAGCCAATATCTGATCACAGATCACTACATTACTGGTGCTATACGGCTACAACTTGGCTTGCATCTAAACAGAAGGTCACACGTGTTGAGCAATGCGTTTCCAATAATTTACCTTTAATGTGCTAAATATAATCACAAGATAATGATGTGATTATGTGATTAATTTGATGTAATTATTTGCTTCGGCAACAAGAGAAACCATGACTGACACTGGTGATTATTGGTGGTGAAATGAGTTTTAGACATAAATACAGCATGTGGTTTTTGTATGGATCTTTGGTTGCTTTACAGTGTGCGGCCAATTTCACTGAGATGAGATCATATCAACTGAAAAAGGAAACGCAGCCTTTGTTTGTATCCTTGCAGCGAGTGTGAAGTCGCCTTAAATAACTGCCGTCAACAGACAGAAGCAAATATTTTATGTGTAGTTTTGAAAAGGCTTCAAACAAACGGCTTTAGTTTGTTCAGACCTCATCTGTAACACCCAGCTGAGTAAAGCAAACCCATTCTGATCTTTACACGAAATGTGTTGCCTTTGTAGTCTTTGCATGGCTAGAAGGAAATGATTTGATTCATCTCTTCTTTATAACAAACAAAGAGGATCTATGTGAATAAACAAAGAAATATGCATACTTGTATTCAGAACTCTGTCATATAGAATATGAACTAAAGACTACTCATGACCTGACATGTTTAACTCCACATCTTCAAACACAATCTAAAGTTTTACCTGAAGCACAGGACTCTGAAATGAACCACTGTGTAGGAGGAGGAGGAGCATGTGAAGTGTGATGTTTTCGCTTCAGAAAATAAATTGCGCTGTGACATCAGAGACCCAGTTAGTGTGAAATCACACACCAGCCTGGCTGCATCAGCACACATGTACACATTTACATATAAAGACAAACACACACTCATATTAAACACACACACACACACACACACACACACACACACACACACACACACA